TGGAAATATAAACTTAGACCCTAAGATTCTGTGGTCAAGAATATATCTCTTGAACATGAGTAACTAAAAAGCAAGAAAAAATGAATATGCATAATTCATAAGATTTTCCTCTATCATGAGTACATCAAATATAAATTAGAATACAATAACATTTGCTTAAAAAGGGATTGTCTTACAATATACATTTAAAATTTGAGAGTTATGAGAAGTTATAGAGATTATAGAAATATAAGTTATAAGTATAAAAAGGTATATATTTCTAGTTACGAGGAGTTATAGAGATTATAGAAATATAAGTTATGAATATAAAGAGATACATATTTCTTAGTTTAAGAAGGAAAATTAATGAGATTAATTTAAGGGAATGCTAAATTCAAAGTTCTAATTACTTTTGTAAGATTAGTTTCTCCCTTATCTATTTAATAAGAGAAAATGAAAAGGAAAGAAACTGAAAATGTTATTAATAGCAAATTACAATAAAAAAAATTCTCTATTCGAAATTAATTTTATTAGTCACAAATTTACATATATTCTCATATGGTTTCTTTAATAACTTAAAAAATGCAAACTTTATATGTTTAATTAAAACAACAACAATGTAGTGTATTATTATTTGATATCGGGTGTGCTCAATTCGAATATAGCATTAAAAATATTCAATACTAAAAAACATATTTATTTATTTATTTTGTGATTGATTACTAATATACTAAACCATATCATATACTTTTAGAGACAAAAATATTCAGTAGATATTAAAAAAGTGTACCATAGGTGATATACCTTTAATTCAACCATGGAAAACCTAAAATATTAATTATATATATATATATATATATATATAAACAAAAATGTGCATCTTTTCATCTTCAACAACAACAATGAATGAAATAATCATTTTTTGTTCAAAATGAAGAAATAAAATAAAAGAGAACAAAATAATGTTAATTGAAATCAAAATAATAAAACAATGAATCTTCAAAATATTTGAAAATCAATCAAACTTTTATACTACTACAACTCTCTATGCATGAATCTCTAAGATAATTAAGTTTCTTTCTTCATTTTGTTGAACTTGTACCAAATAATGTGATGAATCTTTCAAGAATTTATCGATGATCTTCATCAAAGTGAAGATCATATCGTGACATCATCTTTTCAGTGTCTTATTTTTTTATTACTTAACTACATGATTGATGAATAAAAAGATGAAGAAAATAAAATTAAAAGATTATACTACTAAAAAGAAAGAATGAGAAAATAGAAATGAACATACAATATCTCCATAGATGATTGATATTTATAGATAAAATAAGTATTAAAAATAGTTAAAAGAGAATTGAAAAGACATGTTATTTAAATAGAGAATGTCAATAGATGGGGGAGGGGGGGGGGTTTGTAACTCATTTCATATAATTACAATATTAAATATGATTGAATTTTATAGTTAATAAAAAAAATATTTTATGAAAATAATAAAAAAAGAAAAAAAAAGAAGAAACAAATAGAGGCCATATAGAGGTCCCACATCAGCGGTTTTGGATTCAGATTTATATATATATATATATATTGACTAGGATAAGTTTCTTAAACATGACAATTGATACCCACAATTAATTACTATTACCTAATTTTTTTTACCTAAATTAAATATAACCTTCAATTACAAATTAAAACATAAAAAAAATTGAACGACAATACAAGAGGGAGTCAAACATAGGCTATCAAGTTAAGGAAATTGATGGGTAAATATCAACAAACCATCAAGAATTTGAAAGAGAAAAAGAAAAAATAAACTATGAATACGTGTTTTTATAGAATTCAATATGTAAAACTAATAAATAAGAAAACAAATTATCTCTTATTCAAAGTAATGAAGAAGATAATCAATAAAGAAACATGATTTAAAAGAATCGTGTATGTATAGCATAAGAGAGAAAAAAAATGAAGAAAAAAACCACTTCCCAATAAAAAAGAACATCATGCTATCATTTTTTAAAATTATCAATTTAATTTTAAAAAACTTCTCAATTTGTGAGCTACTAATTGTAAAATTTAATTTAATTTTTTTTTATCAATAAAATAAAAAAAGGCTATATATATTACCAATTAGTAAAACGAAATGTCATGCTATGCCTTTTTTTCGTTTAGAATAGGGCTCATCGACCCGTAGTTTGCCAAAGTCCAATATTTTCCCAACTATTTTCATCCTTCCTTTTTAGAAAAAATTACTTTGGTAAATATTTTTTAATAAATAATTACTTATTTAAGTGATACTTTTATTTATCATCATTTATAACAACACATAATAATCTTATGATAAATTTACAATCTATATTAAAATGGGATAATTGTATATAATAGCAAATTAATAATCTAAAATAAATGGAGTAGCTATGGTTTGATTTAATTGTGCACCATAGCAAACGTTAACCAAAGTTTGTTAGTCGCCTCTCTCCCAAAAATCTCGTTCGCCACTCTCCCTCTGCTCGCCTCTCTCGCTTTTATACACAGAAGTGTATAAATTGTGTTTCTGTTTTGTATAAAGCGAGAGAAAATTGTATATACACATGCAAAAACATATATCTTCGTGCTATACACTTAATTATACAATTTACAAACATTTTACTTCAATTCAATTGTAGAAAAATGCAAATTTTATACAAATATTGCAGTGAAAAAGACCAACGAATTATACAATTACGAATTATACAATTGCAGTAAAATACAATTTTCTCTCGCTTTATACAATAGAAGTGTATGTATGGTGTTTCTGTTTTTGTATAAAGCGAGAGAAAAACATATGTATTCTTCCTATACACTTATAATAATGCAATATACATATATTTTACTTCGATTCAATTGTATGCAAAGAAAATTTTATGCAAATATCGCAGCGAAATAGACAACGAATTATACAATTGTGCATTATACAATTGCAGTGAAATAGGATAGCGAATTATACAATTGCAGCGAAATAGGCCAGCGAACTATACAATTTAGGCCAGCGAATTATACAATTGTATATGTACAGCGAATTATACAGTTTTATGTTTGCTATGGAGCGCAATTATGCAAACTTTGTTATAGCATACAAATATAAATTTTTTATTTGCTATACGTGAAAGTTGCCCTATTAAAATTGAAGACTAAAAATCACATAAATTTTAGAAAAACTCAACAGTTACACCGATAATCTATCGATAAATAATTTTTTTATATGTATATTTCGCCCTTTTCAATTTTACTACTTTAGCATAGTAAGAGTTGATTTGTTTTTATTGGTAAAGGTGGAGATGTGAAGTGAAGTGCATAACGAGTCAGAATGTAATAGTATAATTCAACTAACACAACAATAACAACAGCTGTTTACTTTACTATGAATTAATAAAAAACAAAATAAAAACCAAGAGTTTACTTTGTCAAGCCGCATAGAGACATGAGGGACCTTCTTTTATAAAAGACGCGTAGAGCGCGGAAAAAGGACGCGTGTCTGCTGAACCTAGTGTCTCATCCATCGAAACAAATTCATTTTCGAATCTAATTCAATTTCAAAAATTTAATTTAAAAAATATTATTTAAATTTATATAAAATAACAACCTTTCCTTTGACGATTGGTACAGGTTTACTAATCTTTATTAAAAAATATTATTTTAATTATCAAAAAATTTAAAAGTGTTTTCGATAGTTTCTTTATCTAAAATTATTCCTATATTAGGACAGCTGTGTATTATTTGATTAGTTAGCGGCGATTGGCACGTGAAATATGGCGCTGCCGTATATGTATTTTTATACTATGCTGTACTAGACGCTCTCTTTTTGAATTGGTCGTCATCTAAATCCCCACTTACAAAACATATTTACTCTCTTACCCTTTTGCATTTGTCATCCACGCTCCAATAATTATTCATTTTTCAACCAAAAAAAACAAAACATAGCAATTTTTTTTATCTAAATCTTTTATTTTACCTGTCCATAATTTCTTTTAACAATATTAGGTATCAAATATATCACAAACAACTTTTTTTAAATCATTCATGCAAGTGCTTGTGTATCCAATAATACATCAAACGAAGTAAAAAAAAAAGAAGATAAATTTACCGACAAAATAACGGAAGTATATAATAATACAAAAGAGTAGGTTACACGTGTCCATGAAGAAGCGTGGAGTAGAAAATAAACAAAAGAGTAACACAACAACGATAACATATAAACCTCACTCCTAATAAAACGGCCGTCTAGATTAAAATATAAAAAACAAAAATTCAAAGCCGGCAGGGCCGGGCAAATGAACAATCTCTAAACTTTATTTGTGTACGTAAACGCCCGCGTGCCACGTAATGCTCTCCATTTTCTCAATTATTACACACACACTCTACATACCCTGCTTGGGCGGCGCCTTCTCACCTCCAGTCAAATCCCTCGTTGACCGCGCCCCACTTTTTTTCATCTTTCTCTTTCTTCCAATTATATAAACCGCATACTCTTCATTCATATTTTATAAAACACCAATTCAAAAAATCGTATCAGCACCTATGGCTGTGAAAGATAAGGCTGTGAAAGGAGGTAATGTGAAAGTGAATCATGGAGTTAAGGAAGTTCACTACAGAGGTGTAAGGAAGAGGCCATGGGGTCGTTACGCTGCGGAGATTCGTGACCCGGGTAAGAAGAGTCGGGTCTGGCTGGGTACTTTTGATACGGCGGAGGAAGCGGCTAAGGCTTACGATGCCGCTGCCAGAGAGTTTCGTGGACCTAAAGCGAAGACGAATTTCCCCTTTCCGGCGGAGATGAATAATGTTGGTAACAATAACAGTCAGAGCCCGTGTGGGAGCAGTACCGTGGAGTCATCCAGCGGAGAAACGGTTGTTCACGCGCCTAATACGCGACACGCGCCGCTGGAGCTGGATCTCACGCGCCGTCTCGGTGCCGCTGCTGAAGGTGGACGTGGAGGTGTCGGCTACCCGATCTTACACCAGCAGCCGACGGTGGCGGTTCTGCCGAACGGTCAGCCGGTTTTGTTGTTTGATTCTATGTGGAGACCGGGAGTTGTTAGTAGGCCGTATCAGGTTGTACCGGCGACGATGGAGTTTGCCGGTGTCGGTGCCGGAGTTGTTACTAGTGTGTCGGATTCGTCTTCCGTTGTGGAAGAGAAACATTATGGGAAAAAGGGACTTGATCTTGATCTTAACCTTGCGCCACCTATGGAAGTTTAAATTAATGACGACGATAATCTAATTTTGTGAGAGAGATTAAGAGAGTGACAGAGCTAATGGCTGATTTTTGTATATAAGTTCAAAAGAATTGATTGCTTTTTTTTTTTGGCAGCTGAAACTTTCTCGTGCTGTTTCTACCATTTGTAACTCTAAATCCTTTTAATTAATGAGAAAATTCCATATTTTCTCCTTTCTATTTTTCATGTTCATTTTCATTAGCCTAATTTCAACAACGTATTGTTATGAGTTTGTAATATTGAAGTTCATTTTCTCTAAGTTCTGAGATCTTTTAATTGATTAATTAATTGGAGGCGATTAATGATGGATAAGATTAGATTCCTCATTTCTCAGAGATTTCTAATTGCCGGCCAAATCTAGAATAAAATCAAAGAGTCGTAATCTATAGTTTTTGTAACAGAGTAAAATTGGAAAAATAATTCAACTTAGATCTAGATTCATTGTTTTTTGGTTGCAATGTCAAAGTAAATGTGATTCTTTTTTAGGTGGTGTTTGGCCAGATGTAAGACTGGGAAAAAAACTTAAAATAAATGCAAAAAATACTTCCTTATTTTTCATTTTAAAGATATATATGAAAGCGCCGTTGTATAACAGGTGTCAATTCTGCTCCACAAATCCACCAACAAGAAATTTTAAAAAACCATAACTAATATGTTCATCTTTAATATTTGATAAAAATCAGTCCAAATAAAAGTTGCATCTGTAGAAAATAAATAAATAATATTATTAAAAGTCATTCATAATTAGTTTATAATAAATGACCGACGAGGCAGAAGAGTACATTGCGCCCCTATCCGAATATGAATAGAGGGAATTCCGTGTGGGAAGGGTACATGTCGTGTTAAAGTTGGACGGCACGTGTACTATTTGTGCCTGCCGTCCATCTTTTTTAAAAAAGAAAAAAAGAGAATAATTTGGTGGGGGAGAGGATAATTACGATCCAAAATTAATTTGATTAATTTAATATTTTAAATAAAAAAATTAAATATTATAAATTATATAAAAAATATTATAAATTATAATTTTATATTATTAATTTAATTTTAATTAAAAAATTTTATAATTTAACTCTAAAAATAAAAATTGCGACAGATAATAACCGAAGGAAAGAAGTATTTTTGGTAAGAAGCAAGAAAGAAGCAGGAGACAGCGGGATTATAGGTCCCACCTTCTTGGACTTTGTAACTCTGTCGGCTTGGCCCCACTTCCTTCGCCGCCGGAATTTCTGCTATTACATTATAAAAAATAATAGAAAACTTTTTTCTTTTTCGTTTTCCTCTTATTTTTATATCGGTGCGCCATGCGGCGGCCATCGGGAGTTTTTTTATTATTAACTTTGTTAGTAGAACTTAAGATTTCACATAATTAGCTGGACTGTAAAAAAAATTGGCTGGTGAGGAAATATTTATTTGTGATTTTTTAGTTTTATATTTGTGGATCGTTTATTAGATATGTTGTTTCATTTTGTAATAAGTAATAAATATTTTATATTATTTTTAATTATTATGTTGAATTTTTTAGAAGTTAATTTAATTAATTTTTAATATTATATTAGATTAAATTTATTTAATATTTTAAATAAAAAATTTAAATATTAAAAAAATTAAAATATTTTTATATTTAATATGCTGAAAAAACCCGATAAAATATTAATCAAAATAATTATTTTTTGACTAAAAAATAAATATAACAATTAGAAATAGACAAAGATAAAAATTACAAAAGTTTATAAAACTTATGTTAAGCTACATGTTTAGAAAGAAAAAAAGATATTTTTTAAAAATTCATACTCACTCAAAGTTCATTATATAAATTGGGAAAAATGAAGTGTTATCTTTTGATAACTCTTGTCAAAATCATTATCTTGAATTTTTATTATTATTTCCTCTTCGTCTCTTAAATCTTATAAATTTAGACGAAATTGACATGACAAACTTAATGACGTGAAATTATTACTATCTTTATCTGCCCCATGCCTAATATTACTCTTATTAGTAGTTAATATTGTTTCTTCCCTTTATATTTTGTGGGTTTTTTTTAATTTTATTGAGAAATATGTGTTAACGTGCGAATAAAATCACATGTTAAATTATTATATGAGTTTGATAAACTATTTATTTTGTCATCCAACCGTTTGGACAAACACATAAAGGGAAACATGTAGGTGTTGTTGTATCCATAAAACACATAAGTATGAGAATGACACAATGATTCTCCAAGTAATAAGTCCATGAGTATTAACGATGGCCATAGTAACTCTGAATTATGAATTGTTGGATGTTAGTAATATATTATTTTAATTTTAAAATATATCTAATTTTTTTCTTTTTCATTTTTAGTTAAAATATATTAAAATTAAAAAGTAAAAATATTTAAAAAATAAAATAACATAAATAAAATATTATTCTGATTGAATTATCTCACTAAAAAAGATTTTTTTTTTTAAAAAAAGATTATTTATTACGTGATATCAAAAAACAATAAGTTTAAAATTTGAATTCTACATTCATTTCTACTTTTGAAATCCAACATAACATATTCGGTCGGCAAAAAGATGCTTTTTGCAAAATTCGAAATTCTTGAAGGAAAACTTGTCACCACTAGTATTTCTTAGTACGTCAACAATCAATTATTAATATTTCAAAATTGATGTAAACTATTTTTTTCTTTTCGAAGTTCAACTATAATTTAAATTTAAATATCTTAAAACATAGTAAAAATATGATTGCAATCTTTCTAGGAAAAATGTTAAATATATTGCGAATTATCGTAAATGATATACAAATACTTTCGTTATATTTTTAGAATATTTGTGTCTCTATCGTCTTAATACTAAATCACATATACATTTATATTAACGAACATACACGTGTTATGATATGATATTTATCGATAAATAAGATTATGAGCCTGTTTGGCTCAGCTTAAAAGCTGGTTTTTGACTTATTTAGTTGTTTGGCAATAATCAAAATAACTTATTTTTAAGTTAAAAAAACTTATTTTAAACCAAAAGTTAAAAGTTAGAGTATGGTGTTTCTTTTTTTAGTTTATAAGCTGTTTTAAGTTGACCATATTTTTATCTTTTTGCCCTTAATATTTTTATACAATCTCCAAATTACCCATATAACCCTAACATTTCTTTCTTCCATTTTTACCTTTTCACGTTTGACATAACAACTTTCGTACTTTTATCCAAACGCATAACTGCTTATTTTAAAAATAAGTTTCAGCACTTTTAAAAGTACTTTTTTAAAATTACTTTTATTAAGTCCATCCAAACAGACCCTATATGCATTATGTTGAAAGACATATATACTTTAATTTTTTAACAATTATAACGAAAAATATATGCATACTATTTACGATAATTCATAAATACACTTGTCATTTTCCCCATCTTTTGCTATTACAATTAATCAAAATATTGATGATCTGGAGCTGATAAAATATGATCGGGATATTTTTGCCACATCTGAAATTTCATTTTTTACTTTAGCAATTTCTAGAAACTTATTTTTTTAATCTAGAATATAAAACGAGTGAGAACACGCGCGTCCATGTGCGTGTGAGGGAGGAAGTGAGGGGTAGGGACAAAAAGAGGTACAACTAAGCACGTGGGAGGCGTGGGGGCATAACGGCGACGTGTCGGCGCAATCGAGATTCATCGCCGCCTCGCCACCTTTGGTTATCTGCATAAATGGACGCCGTACGTGGGTCCTGCACCTGGGCCCAACTGTAAAAGCCAGTTTTGTTCGCCTCCTTAATACCACACGGCTTTCGCGATTCGAACGAATCTAATAACTTTTAATTATATTTTATATTAATAAATAATAAAATATAAAAATATCATTATTTATGTATTAATTTAAATATTTATAAATTTTAAAAAGCGAAACGTGAAAACTAAAAAGCTAATTATGAAATTATAATTATTTTTTTTTATATAATTTGGGATGTACCTACCTACCAAGGGCGGTTTTTGGGGGGGGGTTTAAATGAGAGAATAGCGTGTTTAGCGGCACGTGTCACATGACAGTGCCATTAAAAGACTGTCATTTGCATTCAGTAAAGGGGCGGCTACTGTTGCCCACACACCTCCTTATCTTTCATTTCAAACTATAGTTGTAGTGTCAGATGTGTGTAAATAGGTTGCTGTAATTTTTGACTACTTTAAAATTATATACTCAAATTACATATCACATTACTCCATTTCAATCAAATAATGTACTCCCCATACCCTATTAGTTATCATATTTTATATTTTTAAAGTTTAATATAAAGATTTTATATTATAATAAATGGAGGGGTAATAATCTATCAGTAATCGTCTTTTATTCTTATTCAGAGATTTCAGGTTTGAGCCTTGAATATAAAAAAAGAAATTTTGAAGCGTCACTCATGAACGAACCTTATAAATCGCGATTTAAATTTGCTGGAACTTAATATCAACTTCAAACATCGAGCGAAAAACTAAAAGAAGAAACACTCTCGGTCTCATATTATTGTGACGGTTGGATAATAACGAATCGTAATTAGGATTTTTCGGTAGATATTCACTAGTCTTTTATGTAAATTACAAGTTCTTTAATTTCTATGATTAGGATAGGTTTTGTTTTGTATTAAAACTATATTGTCTACATTATCAGACTATAAATAAATTATATATCGGTAGACTTGGTCATGCGAGAAACTAACGACTGACCATTTTCTCTATTCTAATTGTCACTTATTTTTAATATTTGCAAGATTGTCTTAACCTTTAGTCATTAAAGCTATCGTTCGAAGTCCCATTTTAGAAAAATAATTATTTATGCATGTTTATTTTTTAAAAAAAATTATATGTATTATGAGTTTTATGATATTTACTAAGGAAATTGTATTTGAGATGAATATAAATTTGAACTTCAAAAAAAAAACTCAACCTTAGGCAGAGGTTTGAAAATCATTCCATTTAAAAATTTGATGAAAATATGAAAAATGAAATTACAAATTCCATTTGAAAAATCTTGTAGGGTTGATTATTTTATATATGCAGAGAAGATAAAACTATTTTTTCATTTCAAAATAGATTTGAACCAATTAAAGTATATAAAAATGTTTTTTTTCTTATTTAGTAGTAAAATATTGAGATTTCCAGATGATGAGGATTTAAAGAAATATTGTGTTGACTTTGAACTTTCTTTAA